CCAGTGTGTAGCATCCGTGTGATTCTGGTGAGATGATGTATGCTGGAAGGGGATTACTTTGCTCTGCTTTTCCAGTGGATTGCCTTCCTAATGGTTGGTAACCAATAGCACAGACTTCTAGTAAGTTATCTGTTTGAGATGTAAGGAGATTTCTGTTACAGTGGTCAAATTACTGTGTTTTCAAGAGCTTCCCTCCTGATTTCTGCCCCCTCAACCTTTTTCTCAGTGCTTTTTTTGTTTGTTTTTGGAAAAGATCCCTTATTGCATAGATAAAGCTGAATTACTCGTCTGTGGAGTTGGTCAGAGTTGTTGCTCCTTTGATGCAGTTAAACGTTTGAATTATGTCTGTTTAATGCTATTGTAGAAATTTCACACGCTTTACGAATATTTCCATAACTTGCATATTCAGATATTTATCCAAACATAATTGCTATGGGTTTTCCTGCGGAGAGGCTTGAAGGAGTATACCGGAACAACATTGATGATGTAGTAAGGTAAGGCTTTATTTTTTTTTTTTCCACTTAACCTACTCTTGTAAATCTTAAGTATCCTTTTCTGCACTCATATATGTTCTGCAAAGGAAAAGACGTGTGTTCTGACTCGTAGAAATGGCAAGATTTTTACATTTTGTAGATGTCGTCTTTTTAGCTTTCCTGAAAAATGTTGGAAACAACGAAACTGATATTTTCAAGAATTTTAGGCCAGACTGCTGTTCTGGGTTGATCTCAAATGAATGTAATCTGCTTTTTAGTGTGAAAAATTGACTTTGGTAAATTATGTTGGAGTAGAAGGAGATTCTTTGCTTTTAGAAAGATGTCAGTCCATGCCTCTGTTCACGGCGTTGAAGGTTTCCTCAGATAGCTGAGGGCATTTCAGCATACATTTGCCCATATCCTTTCTTCAATCGATAAATGTAGTGCTTGATAAGTTAATATTGATTTAAAGAAGTAAATATAGGTGACTTTAGGTAAAGGCATTCACATCTGGCTGTGTTCAATAATTGCTAACTAGGAGAAAAATCAGCTAAAATTCGTTACTGCTGGTGATGCTTGATAGCACATTTTTGGGGGGGAACCCCAACAAAAAAACCCCAAACCCTACAGGTTGTCATTTTTAACATCAAGTAAAGTTACCTACTCTGAACTGCTGGGCACGGCTATGGAAGGTATACTCTAGTGTTTTAGGAGCATCATTATAATTTGTTTCATCAACACCCTACCTGGAGGACGTAGCGAGAGGTTGCATTAAAAACTACATACTTGGCAGAAGCTGCCAAATCTTAGTGTTGTTAGGATCCTGTGTTCTGATTTTTTTTTAAGTCATGAATGATGCTTTTGAGATCATGGGCATTTGAGGTCGTAAGTTCAGTAGCTCTCCAAGAGACTTGATGGATAATGCAGTAGGGGCATGATTATGCAGTGAAGTTGGAAGTAGGCGTATCTGGGCAGGAAGGTGCTGCTCCCAGGTTTGAGATGCCACAGAAAGATTCTCGTAATCGTAGGCAGGCCGAATTAGCGCTGCTTGAATTTCACTGGTAATTGTTTGCATCCAGGCTGGTACAGAAATGAGTTGAGAGAGCTCCTTGGTTCCCACCCCGGGAGGAATTTTAACCCTCAACTGAGAATCAGTTGTCTGGAGGCAGCGACTTCCCTGCGCAGCTGCAGTTAGCTTCAGATGAGTTCGAGGGGGTTTCATTTTTGCATATTTAACCATCATGACGAAGCTCGCTATCCGCGAATAGTACTGAAAAAGTCAGAGGCTGGATTTGACCAGGCTGGCAGAAGTGACCTTGTTCTGTCACTTTTTTGGAGCTGGTTGTATCGGTGAGGTTCAGCGTGGCAATCTGTAGATACTCTTGCAGAGTCTGTATGTCTCTGCTAGAATTGTTAACAGAGGCGTGAAGTTGTGTTTTCTAATTGTGCGATTGCGCACAAGAAAAAGCTTTTGCCGTCCTTCTGGGACGGTTAAGGGCTGTCCCACAAACTCAAACTATCTAGCCATCTTTCTTGACCAGCAATCAGAGCCACCTTTTCATTAAGTTGATGTGGGCATTGCATCTGCTATGTGAAATATGCGGTCCCTCATGGACTCCACCTTCGGAAATTGTAGGACAAGGGCAAAGGCTGGATGTGGAGTAAATAACATGGGATTAATCCAAATAAATAATAAAAGCAGTAGTCTTTGAAGGCCCTCTCCCATTCACAGCATTGATTTCAGTTGCTTCCGTATGAAGGAAAATATACTTCATTGGTTAAGTACGTAGATATGCGTAAATTAGAATTTTGAAAGGGAGTGACCATATTATTATTAAGTTGTCCATAACTACTCTGTTGATCAAAAGGAATAGTGATCACCTAAAAGTGTAATCAACCAAATTAAGATATGGAGACATGTAAATTAAGTGGCTTTAGTGGATGCTAAAGTAGTGTTATGTTTGCCCTGTATTTTTAAATGAGAATAATGCACCAAACATGATTGTGCAGCATTCTGCATGTTGCAATCAGCAGGTCCTCATCTGCTCCTGTCATCTTTTTATTGTGGACTTTTTTCTAAGAGGTTTTTATGCAGAAATTCAACGTGTTTGAGCTCCAATGCAATTGGTATTGAGCCAGAATACGGCAGCGGGCTTTTTCCGAATAGCTGGTATCCTGACAAATTTAATGCTAACAGTGTATGAGAAGTATGACCTGGACTGCTGGCCGTCTCCTGTGACGGACGCTTGGAGAGGTTTTGGATGGAATTTTGTCCTTAGAAAAATACTTGCGTGAAAGCTTATATGCTCAGCTTTGTGGATGTTACTGGCAGAAGCGGAGTCAGCTCTCCTTGCCCTCCAGTGTGTTTCAAACAAGCGAGGACATCTCCTGAAACAAATCATCGTGTCCACCATCTTCCTCAATATCTCAGTCTGCCAACAGGGGAGCCGGTGGGAGTCATCAAATATTTTTTCCGATGAAATTGGAATCCTGTTCTCAATGCTGCACGAGGAGTGTTCACATCTGTTCTTATTTTAATGCATGGGTTTAACCACAGAGTTCTTCTAGGTTCTTCTGGAATATTATGACTGATAACCAGAGCTTGTTTTTGCTTGAGCTTTCCAGGATTTTAGCAGCTAGTGTTTCTTTTCAATTTGAACAGCATGTTCTGTCATGGCTAATTAAATTCCTTCTGGCTGATGTGCAGATACACACTGTTGACGATGTTAAGTGTAAACATTTGTATGTTATTTCTTCTTGAACATTGCCAGGTGACACATCATATATAATCACAGCAATTTTGATGAATCATGTTTGCAGTTTGGCTCTCCGAAGCTTATATAGGAAGTTTTTGTTACGAAGTGAGCATGAAAATGAAATGAGTGTGAAAAAGTATAGTCGTCTTCCTCCTCCTTTCTGAACCCACAATATCGTCGGGCGGTGGCAAATAACAGCCATGTTAAAAACCTGATATTAAAAGAAGTTATTCTGGCTGTTCTAACTGGAATACAAAAGTTATTTTAACTGCTTTTTTTTTAAATTGGAAATACCACTGTGGCAAAATATTTTGCAGAGATGATTAAATTGGAAGTAAGTGTTCACAGATAACCTTGTGTAATTGATGCTTTCTGCTCTAAAAATACACAACCCTTCCTCAGCTTAATATATTGGTGTGCATATATCTTCGAAAAATCAGTGCAGGTTGGACCATACAATAAATATTGCAGTTGCAGGTCAGATCTTGGTCTCCTCAGTTTCATAAATACTCTTACACTACGGGATTATTTGTCTGAGTGAGGTTTGCAACGCACTGCCTCCTCGACTTTGAGGCACTGCAGGGCCAGCTGGGACTTGGAATGCAGAACTGCACATGCTGGATGGTGCTTTAACGATGCTGCAAATTAAGGTCAACGTTATTGCAATGTATATTAATACATGCCTTTTTTTTTTTCTCTTGAAGGTTTTTGGATTCAAAGCATAAAAACCATTACAAGATATACAATCTGTAAGTATGCTCTTATAGATGTATTTTCCAAAATAATGAGTTCTAAAAATAGCTTATGAGTGAAAGTGGCTTGTTGCTGTACTGAAGCAGATCTAGAGATGTTTTGCACATTTCTTAAAACAATTAAGCCTGATTGGGAGCACTGTTACTTCATTTAGTGGAGCTGAGTGAGGTTAAATGAAATGCTGGTGTGTATTCATATTACTTGAACGCTTTTAAATGACTTGGCATCTTGCCCATCTGGAGCTTGTACCATGTGATTAAAAAGTGAAAAGTAATTCACAGCAGGCTTTCTGTTAATGTATTAATGTCTGCAGTGAAGAAATTGCCGAATGACTATTTTCCTGGGGTTTTTTTGTTTTGTTTTTTTAATTGAACTGTATTGGTACTCAGGTTCTGCTTTCTTCTCACTTTTCTTGACTGTCCCTGTTTATTACTTTGAAAAACCTACTGCACCAATTGGTAATGTGATGTACACTTTGTAAGTGTAATGTTTTCCCCTGAAGATTTAGTTATGCAGAAAGCTGTTTTTCTTGTAGAAGGGATTTTTTTTGTTGTTGTTGTTCCCTGATCATCTTTATATGTTAGTTTAGGCTACTGTCACTTGTATAAATGATTTGGTGATGTTGAAAAGTAGGTCCTGGCTTTCCTATCCCTCATTTTTTCCCAGAAATCTAAGTTGGAGTTTTATCAATTCCCTGAGCTGTTAAGGCTTTGGGGTTTTTTAAATTAATGTTTCTAAATGTTTCTAAATATCTGTGATTAATGGAAAAATTACTGTAGTGTGGAAGTCCAGGCAAAGCATTACATTGTAATCTATCAGTCATTAAAAGTAAGTATGTAAATATGCCTCTACATTAGTTGAAGGATTATGCATCAAGCAACTCTGTTTCCTGATGTTGGAGCAAAGTGATACTAGAAGCTGAGAAATTGTATACTGGTTATTGAAGTTGTCTGTAAAGCCTGGGGTAGGATGGGGCAGGCAGAGATCTGTAAATAAAATATGCATTCAAATAAACTCGTTGGACACCTTTCATATAGTTCAGTAACAGAAGTATTTTCTCCAACTTAGAAGCTCTCCAGACTGTTCGCCTTTTAATAAATGCTGTCTTGGTGGCACTTAACAGGTGGAAAGGACAGCGCTTCCTAGAATAGCTGATAGCTCCTCCTGTGTGTAGGTGCAGCTCTCTACAGAGGTAACTTTCTGGATACCTGCCTTTGAAGCCTTCTGGAGCTCAGCGCTAGAGATCCATATCGTGTAAAATTTAACTACTCTGGTTTTATTAGATGCCCCCCCCACACCCCAAAAGCTTCCTGAGAGCTTCTACTTGGTTTGGGGAGCAAAGCAGAAGAGGACAGGTATAACTTCATTTCCTGCTGCTTCTTGGGTGCTGAGTTCAGCTGTCAGGGTGTGTGAAGGGTGACTCTGGTATTGCTTACAGGATCTGGGTTTGCTGAGCCACCTGGCACTGAGTTTGTTTCGAGGTGGCAGGTTGTAAAACAATAAGTTGCTGTGTGTTGACTTCTTGGCTTGGTCAGAAAGTAAGAGTTTCTTAAGACTTCAGTGCATCTTAGCAAGTAGCTCCTCAGAGAGGTGTTGCTTGAAAAGTTTCCACTTTGCTGTATGCCAGCAACCTCGTATCGCTTTAGAAAAAAGCAAAAAAACCACCTCCCAACACAGAAACAACTTGGAAGTTTTTAAAGGAGAAGAGCTGTGATGAGACAAATGCTTTTGATGTTTATGTTGCTGATACATGTGTGTTCAACTGTGAAAAGAACTTGTCCAGGTGTGCCAAAGGTTTTTGTCTTCAAGTTCTTCATATTCCAACACTTGAGTTTTCGGTGCAAGAAGCCCCCATCGAGGTTTTTTTTCCTTTTTGCTAACTTCAAAACAATCAGTTGCAGCTTCTGAAAATTACTATATTTGCTCTCAGACAAAAACTTTTGCAGGATAAACCATCCTTTTAAAGTGTGTGCATTTTCTCCCCCCCGCCCCCCCCAAACGTGGATCATTTGCGAACGAAGATTCAAGTGATTACTGCAGAGTTGGAAAGCATAGCTTTTAAAATGTGTATCTCTGGCTAGAGAGGCCAGGTTATCTCTCCACCTTTATGCGGGCAAAATTTATACACACGTTGAGTACATAAATGCCATTAGGTGAATCGTTGCAATGTTTGGTCGTGAGATGGGAAAAAATTGCAGTGTTCAGGTAGTTCGGAGAACGGCATCTCGTTAGATTAAGCAGAGCCTTTGTAAATAATCAACCTGTTGTCTGTGTTTAAAAAAAAAAAAAGAGGTGGGAGTTCAGAGGAGTTATTTGATTATAGTCAGGATTATTTCAAACACTGTCATGGGGTTTGAGTTCCCTTAAGGTAGCTGTTACATGAAATTGATAATGTGTGTATTGTGCAGTTTTATTTAAAAGGATTTAGAGATTTTTCTGAACTGATGCTTAAATATCAGTTATGCCTCATCCTTGCATCTTGGCTTTTAACTTCTCAGTGAATGTTTGAGCAACCAATTTAATTTTGTTCCTTGTTTGTGTTGGTTTTCTCACGTGTGCCTTTAACCTTTTGCTATTTCTTCAGTATTACTCTTTATTTTAACATCTTCTTTCACTTTCATCTCCTAACTTCACATACTGCCAAATCGTTACCTTCCCTATTGAAGTCATCTCCATCTTCTCCAGTATATTTCTTTTAACTCTCATACAGGCAGATCGTTAAAGAAGGAGCTGTAATGAACAACGCGGATTTTACATGCATGCTTTCTGTACCTCTGTGTACGTGGGGTTGGGCTTTGCGTAGGCTGCCATCCTTTTGGTAGCCTGTAGTCCTGTCATCAGTGGGATCATGGTTACGATCAGAAAAGTGTCTGGCTGGCAACACTTAGGATCTGGGTTGCTTCAAACTTTAATTGTAAGAAGGATTAGATGAAGCATGCCAACCCACTCCTCACCCCCAAAATAAAAAAAGTAATTCAAGTTTCAGGAGATCTGACTGTATTACAGGTCTAATAGTTTGTTTAAAAAACCAAAACAACCCAAATGCATTTGAAATGCTAAGTAATGGAAACTTCCCTAAAGTATGTGTCAGGGGGATCTCTGCTGCAGATACACGCATGTGTTTGGTGGAATGAAATGGGAATATATTTTGTACGGCCGTGTCTGGAGCTCTACGTTGCCCTGTGTTGTGTACAGCTCCCATAAGAGGGCATAGAGAGTGACATGGCTATGTTCTGTGCTCAGTTTCTATCCTTGGTATCAACAAAACTATTTTTTATCCCTTATGGTATGTTACTTGATACTCTCTCAAACTTCAAAATTTGAATGCTTTTTTGCCCATATGTGGATTTTTTTAATGTTTTGAAGACTTTCATCTCTTACTACCCCTTTGAACTGGGTGTTTCTTTAAAAGGAAGAAGGAAACTTTTTTGGATAAGATGCTTGGTGTTAAATGCTTTGCCTGCTAGCAGGCACAACTTCCAACATCCAGATGCCGACTAGCCTGGAGCAGGCTTTGCCTGGCACGACTGATGGGCGCTCCAGGCGTGCCGACCCCATCTTGGGTGTATGTACCGCATCTAACCTTTCTTCTCAAAGGCTCGAGTGCAGATAATGGTTTTTTGAGTCCAATCTGCCAACCCAGCCTGTGCTGTATAGAGTTCTGACCCAGAGAAAATGTCAGCAATGTGATGAGAGCTGTAAAAACTGCCAGACTTTTCCCTAGCAGAGGCTAGAGTTGAGAAGGCTCTGGAATTCAGAGAAAGGGAAGCACCGAGTGCATGTGCAAACCCAGCAGACCTGCCTGTCCCTGGTGCACGAGGCTTGTGGACAAAGCTCAATGCAGCACCTGTGAGGCTCCAGTTACGTGCAACGGTCATACAAGTAGGAGCCTAAAAGTTTGCGTGTCCGAAAGTGTCAAGTAAGCTCCATATGGCTCCAAAGGCTGCAGTCATAACATACCTCTTAAGGAAGAGAGAAGTTCATACGAGTCCTGAAACTGGTGTGGGTGATTGAACCCTATTAAGAGTACAAGTTGTAATCAGAACAGAAGATGGAGATGTGTTTTGTCTACTGAAATGACACCCAATCATTGAGTTTCAACCTGGAGTCCTGTTGTTTTGAGGCAGGAGTGTTCTCGTTTTCCTTTCTGAACTGCATTTTCACTTGTATTGCATCGGGATGCATCATCAGATGTTAGAAATTCTTTACTGTTAGAGTGGTGAGGTACTGGAGCAGGTTGCCCAGAGAGGTTGTGGAGTCCCCATCACTGGAAGTGTTTAAGACCAGGTTGGATGAGGCTTTGGGCAATGTGGTCTAGTGGAGGGTGTCCCTGCCCATGGCAGGGGGGTTGGAACTAGATGATCTTTAAGGTCCCTTCCAACCCAAACCATTCTATGATTTTGCCTGCAGAGAGCAACTCCAAGGAAAATTAAGGAGGGCATCTACTTCTTACTGCCTTTCCCCTTACCCCCACCGTATGATCTAGCTTGTTTCCTTACAGCATGCCAGTTTGGCTGTATTAGAGCCCTATTGCTTGGATTGTTTATATCTGGTTACTGATGTTTGTCCCTAGGCAAGTCATCCTGCAAGGCCAATACAGTGTGGTTTGCTGTGCTGCTAGCTAGCTAGAGTGGGTTTCTTAGAGTGATGAGACAGACATTGATGCAACTCCAAACTCTTAAGAAATGTGCTGTTTTCCAGGATCTGTGAAGGGAAAACTGTCTGACCGGCCTTTTGGGTATTTTTGAGTTCACCTGATTTCAAGAACAAACACCAAGTTGGAGAGCAGTATCACAGTCTCTCTGCTTCATACAGTGATCTCTGTTCTAATATTCAGTGGTGCTTTCAGTTGCCCGTGGTGGTCTTGTTGCCATCCTGTAACTGGAGGAAGAATGCTTGCTTGGGTTGCACTAGCCGAGGGTCTTTGAAATGCCCTTGTGATCCCTAGCACCCACGTTGTTGTTGAGGCATCTTGACGTGTGTTTTGAGTTCAAGAGTCAACTGGATGAAGGTCCTAGCCATCTACTCTTTAGGTGTTTGTGCGGGAGCATAAAGCGGCTGGAGCTGTTCATACTGTGGTGTTAAACGCTAACGGTGTATCGCATTACTTGCGTGAATGTCTCCATTGAGTCATGCTGACTAAAACGTACCGATGGGCCACTGTTGCCATACGGTAAGTGTTTTTCAGTAAAATAACTGATGTTTTAGTGGGCAGCTTTATACATCTGCAACAAAACAGTTTTTCTCTATGTAACATCTAGCTATAGTTTTAAATCATAAAGGTGATGGGTATACGTGATTTTCCCATATGTTGATCTGTATATTCCAAGGTGTGACAGATGTTGGGAGTGCCCCAGAGACTTGTCTTGAACTCTTGTCTGTTTTTTTTTTTAGATGTGCTGAAAGACATTATGACACCGCCAAATTTAACTGCAGAGGTATGTTGTTACTGTCTAGTACGTGTTCTTTTTAAACTTCAGTGTTTCTGCATGAAGGTATAAAGGAGGAGCGGATGAGTAGTAACGTAGGTGATTTGGGCACAAGGAATGATGTCAGATTGCTTTGAGTCATTGGAGGAACTTGCTGTATTCTTGACGCTTTCAAAAAAAGTACGTTCCTGACAGTTAACTAGATCAAGATCTAATAAGGCAATCAGAAGTCTACTGTAACAAAAATTTTTGCAGAATGGGTTGTACAGAAGTTTCTGTTCCATTCAGTGTGCAAACTTACTGTAAAATTTAGATGTGAAGCTTAGAGAAGTCTGATTTTTATGCAGAAGCATCACTTAGAATAAAAATGGAGAACACTTAAGCCACTGTCACTGTTCTCATGTAAAACAACTTTTTGAAGGTCTGGAACAAACCTTCAGTTGCTTTAAAAAAAAATAATAATTTAATTCCCAAGTGATGCCTCTTTGAGATGAGTTGGTTCTTAGACACATTTCATAGCTACCAAAACCAGTGGGGAAACCTTTAGGGGCTCCTTTTGATCAGACTCTTGGTGAGTAAAAACTGATGTACCTGTTTTGTCAGTAGTAACTCCCCAAGTATTAAATAAATAAATACAGATTCACCTTTGTTCTTTGTGCAGAGGAACATCTCTGTGCACTGTAGCAGAGCTTGTAGTTCCTCTTCATGCAGTGCTTCAGAATGGCTGGGTAGATAAGGATTACTTGTGTGTACGTAATTGTAGGAGACAAATTTTGCCCTTACTGGCTAATACTAACTACATTGCCTCAAGGGCTCAACTTTTTTAATTCTTATTATTTTAAACCATCCCTCTAGTTGTAAAGAGTGTGTTTAGAACATGACTAAAATGTAATTGGCTGCTTTAATGTCTGAATATAGAAGGACTGAAATTTTCATTTTGAAGTCATCTTCGCTCCTGATTTGCTCTTACGATGTTGAATGGCAGTGTCCTGACACCTCACTCAATACATCCAAGCCAGGAAAAAAAAAAAAGTATTTTAAGATCTGCTTGAGCAGTACTTTGGGTAAGAGGAGAAAAGGCATAAATAAAAAGGACATGCTTCTAATATGTTCAGAACATATGCTTGCTTTAATTTATGCTTTCTATTATCGGGGTGCTCAGACCCCTTCACTGTCAATCCCAGCCCAAAATGTTGTTTGTGGCAGCACCTTTCACAGCTCGTCTGCATAAGACAACACTGTCGTTGGGAGCTACACATTGCATTTTTTTTCCTTTTCATCCCCAAATTAGTTGCCTTAGATAACCAAACTGGTGACTCAGGACTTCCCTTAGGAGAGGAGCAATAGTTCTACTTTAAAATCTTCTCAAGTGAATTAATTTCAAAGGGAACTTCACATTTGTACACTTAGCATGAAACACCATAGTGGTTCATTATTCAACTTGTATGCTCTTGCATCAAATTCAAAACCAAACATTGAAAGCTCTTCATTTTCTTTGGACGCTAGCTTTCTGTCTAGGGTTTTTGCAGCTTCTGAAATATTTCCATGCTGAAAAATTGCCTTCTGCTCTGCCACAGGCTTTCCTTTTTATTTTCTTTGCCCCTTTATGTGCTATGGGATTTTTCTTGTGACATTTAGGAGCTTGGAGAGAGTAATCAGAACCATTCTCCATGCTCTGTGCTCCAGTGTTAGGAACCCAAATCCACGGGAGGACCTGCACCCTCTAAGCTGAAGGTTGTGCAGCTTAATGTTTCCTAAGGTTGCTTTCTGATTCTTAATTCCTCTGCACCATCGCAAGGCATGCATTTCATCTGCTCCTCATTCCATCTTTGAAGAAAATACTGTAAAGTTTGCCTTTGATCCCAAATCTTGGAGAGCATCTTCAGCATACTGTTACTGCTTTGGATTTTTCAGGCCATTCTTTCAGAACTACTTTGTCTCCTCTCTTCATGGGAACCTTACTGGATGTAGTTAAGATAGACTCAAAGCTGTACGGACAAATTTGCAGCATCTCCTAACAGCTTTGCTTCTTAGGGGTCTCTAAATAAATTCCTCCTTTCATTTACACCTGCTGCAAAAAGTGGCAATTCTGTAAGTTCACATATAGCGATCATTTGGGGAGTCCTTGTACCTTCCATATGGAAGAATTTTTTAGTGTATGTTCATGAAGCTTTGCTGCTTCTTTAACAAACATTATTCATTTTATCGGGCTTCCCTGTTTGGTCTCTTGGGAGATTAAGGGGGCGGTCTGTACTGCGAGTGAATAAACTGTCCTTGCGGATCCCTCTGAAAGGCTTCGGACTTGTGCCGTGATGATTTAGCAGTTCCATAACTTCATCCCTCACTTGTGCTCTTTAAAGTCCTTGGGGATTCATCAAAAGGGAGCCTTGCATGTATGACAAGAGAGTAGTACTTATGAAATGAATACAAACACTTCCCAAAAAATGAAATGTATTCATTTTTAGACCAGAAAAGGAAATGGTGTTTCTAGCTGAGAATTTTTAAATGAACCAGACTTGTATTTGTAAGATCCCAAGTCTGTCACTCAAGAATCGGGGTGCACTTTATAAAGTGGTGTTCTCCAGATGAAGCTAGTACAGCCCTATGTAATCTGCCAGTCAGCATGGCATTGCCTGTCATCTTATCTGAGGTGTTAGAGGTTTGGGTGCTCCTCTCTGCTCATTGCTTATTTTTTTTGCTCCCTTGAGTTTTCTTTCATTTCCTGCATGCTCGCTTGAAATTCTTTCCATCTCTAGATGGAAAAAGTGTTTGTGTGTGTTTATATATCCATGTAAGAAAAAGGATGACTTTGGTGGTTTGGCTTTAAAACCTAAAAGTATTGTGAGTGCCTTACATGAGATTTCTTTTTTCAATTACTGTTTTTTAATATGGAAATTGCAGGTTTTTGTTTCAAAACCGCCTTTGAGCAAATTCTGAGAGTTTCTTTCCAACGTAGACCCAACTATGGTCAGAATTTTTCAGCAAAATTCCTATTGTCTGATCAGTGACTGAGGTCTGGCCCTGTTTTCTCTCAGCAGGTAGTCTAATTATTGCTGGAGTAATGGGTTTTCACAAGGTTATTGTTAGTGCCAATGCACTCTTAAATTCTAGAAAATTCGTGATGTAAGGTACAGAGTCTGTGCCACTCGTTTCAATGGTGCTGTGAAATAGTCTATTCGTGTAGCGGGGTGCTTGTTTATGTATTACTAGAGAAATGTCTGCAATGCATATAATATGCAGTACATTGCTGAATAGCATTGGGATAAAAAAAAATCACATATCTGTATGTACGATGGGGGTTTTATTTAGACAGTTAATTTTTTGCATGCTTTCTGCAATGCATATAATATGCAGTACATTGCTGAATAGCGTTGGGATAAAAAAAATCACATATCTGTATGTATGATGGGGGTTTTATTTAGACAGTTAATTTTTTGCATGCTTGTCACAAAGTTGACCTCTGTTGTTGAGCTTGCTGTAATTTCCTTTTGAGATTTTGATAAATTACTACTTCTCATTGCAGTTGCACAGTACCCTTTTGAAGACCATAACCCACCACAGTTAGAGCTTATCAAACCTTTTTGTGAAGATCTTGACCAATGGCTAAGTGAAGATGACAATCATGTTGCAGCAATCCACTGTAAAGCTGGAAAGGGACGAACTGGTGTAATGATATGTGCATACTTGTTGCATCGAGGCAAGTTTTTAAAGGCTCAAGAAGCCCTAGATTTCTATGGGGAAGTAAGGACCAGAGACAAGAAGGTGAGCTATTTCCTGTTCTTCTGTTCTCCTACCTGTATCTTTAATGCTTGTCCTGCTTGAGGTCAATTTGAATAGTCAAGCCCTTGAATAAATACTTTCCATCAGTTGCTGTATCTGGTTTGATTTAGCTTTAATGTTACTGGATTGGTGCAGTTGTTCTAAATGAAAAAGCTTTCCTAAGCAGCAGTAGTAATTAGTCACAATACTAAAACAGTCTGGTTTTTCCATCTCCTGTTCAAGATGATCTGGACAGTTTATTTTAAATAGCCTTTTAAATAGCGTTCTGCTGTGTGTCATGTCAAATGGGCAGTTGATGAGTGAGCTTTCTCGTTCAGCATTTTCAGCCCAAATAAAGAGGATTGTTCTAGCTTGTTTTGCCTGAATGGATGAGTTGTTCATCTCCTCAGTTTCGCTTGACTTCTGTGGTGGTGTTTGGAGGTGCGTAGTCATTGCAGTGCACGTTACAGTTGAATATCCCTACTGGAAGAGTCTGTTGGATGCTGCTTTTCAGTAAAAGGGTAGTTAAGCCCAGACGTTGGCTGCCTCAGAGCCTGCTTCATGAGGTGCTGCCATTTCGTTTCTTGTACTTCTCCTGAGGAGAAATGGGAGGACCTCATTTCAGAGAAATGATGTTCATGGCTACAAGAGCTTTCTGTTAAGACCTTGTCAGTGGTACAGACGGACTTAGCAGTAACTGTATGTTGGAAATTGCTGGCATGGTTATGCCTCGTTAATGGGAATTTAACCTCCTTATTGAAATCTTCTCCAAATATAATAAGGTGAGCCTTGCAAGGTCACTCCAGCAAGCTTCCCTGCTCATCTTCCATCATTTCCTTGTGCATGTTGGTAGAGCAGCCCAGGGGGATAATCCCGGCAGGCCAGTTTCAGCTACTCAACTACAGAGCTCTCTGTGTTCTTGTAATATTTGCATAAAGTATTAATTTCACAGTGTGTAGACCTCTAATAAGCAGAGCTTCATGTTTGACGGCTCTTGAGAGCAGAACTGTCACATAAGGAATTTTAGAATTTGGCTGTTAATTCACTGGAAGGAGCAAATAACTTCTTAGTTTGCTCTGTTTACAAGATGGAACTGTTATTCCGTGTACTGCTGAGAAGGTAGTTGTGGTGTAATACTAGAGCGGAGACAGAGTCAAGGTTTCCCGTTAAAACTTTGTGGCTTTTGGTGAGAGTGCATGATAGTGAATAGGAATGAGCCGTGATGAATAAACAGTGTAGATTACTCCTGCTGATCAAGATTATCTAAAGAGCCGGGTAAAACATCATGAAAACTTAACCAGTGCATGGTGAAGCATGTTGTACCTCAGTTTTCCTTTTGTAAAAAGAGGGTAGTATTTCTGTACATCAGTGTACTGAGGGTAAGGTCATTTAGGTGTTCGTCAGTACCCTGGTGGTACCTCTGACATGTTTGAGGTAAGGGAGAACTTAGTAAACAGGATTAGTGAGAGCCTTGTTTAGCTTCACTGTAAATACTGTCCGTAACCAGCAACTTTGTTTTGGTTTTGATGTCTCTACTAGAAGAGTTGATTTTTTTCTTCCTGCTCCCAGCTCCACTTGAGCATGGTTATCTTTTATGTGAACAGTGGGCAGCATGCAATTCACACAATCCTTAAAGTAGTGTTCATAAACAGGTATTCCAGTGCAGGTTCTGGGAGCTTTCTTTCCTTGTGGCCCATATTTCAAGGTTCTGTGTCATGTGCTGTTCTCTGATTTGACGCCTCACCACACTTTATATAACTGACTTCCTGAACTCAAACCCAAATTTTCTTCATTTAAAGCAAGCACAGGGTGTGCACTTTGTATATAGCTGCTCAGAATAGTATAGATAAAAATCACTGTTGCCATTAATGTGCATGGCAAAGTGATTCTCGCGAGGGTTTAGTCCATGCCAGCAGGAAGTGTGAGTCTATTTGCAAGAGGAAGTATGACTAATTGGTCAAGAGAACAACTTCTGTAGCAAGCTTTGTCCCAAGTGCCTGCTGGGAGAAGCAGCTTCATGGAGGCCATTGCAACATCAAGTGAGAGTTGTTGTAGAAGAGGGTGACAGTTCCTAGATAGTCTGTTATAACATAGTGTCATCCTGGGAAGGGTAGTGGGGAATAAGGCATTGCAGAACTGAGTCTAAATCTCTGTCTCTGACCAAAAACTGTTGGTTGGTTTTCTCTATGAGCTGCCCCTTTTGACTTCTGTAACTCATCATAGTGAGGAGAACTTTTTCAGAAGTAGAATGACAGAGATTGGAAAGTATTGGCTAAATGGTTGTGTCTATCAGTCACCACCACTGTAGTAGAACAGGACTGATTTCTGTCCTCTCTTTGAACCAAGGGAGATAAGCTGTTTTCTGAAGTTGGATAAAGAACTGTTATTGTCCAGCCTGTTTTCAGAGCTGGGGGAGAAGTAAACTCCCCAAAAAGTCTTCTAAAAAAGTTGCTGCTGCTTCCACTGTTTGAAATGGTTAGCTTATCACCTGTTTTTTCCTTAAGATGGACACTGAAGTACTACTGTGGTGATGAAGACTGACAACTTACCTTCCTACAGCTGGAGAAGGTCTTTATTTATTCCCACTTCTGCCTTGAAGGTTTTATGGTGAGGATTAGTCTTGGAAGAAAGTGTAGCCTACTCAACAGATAGGTATCAGCTGGGGCCAACTATTTGAGTGCTTCAGCTGGAGAGGGTCCATTCAGGAGCATTCTTTGACTGTCATGCTGTTGTATTTTTAGGAACAGCTCCTAATAGTGGTGTAACTGAACAGGAAATTGAAACCAATTATTTTGTGTGAGGAAGTCTCAGAATGACTCTTTAAGCAGGTTAGATATCCAATGTCTGATGTGTCGGAGCTGATCAGTTGTGATGCCTGTTTGCTCAACAGACTCAGGCGACAACCTCAGCTAAACCTGATGCCGTAAGCCTAGTCTGAGGCCTGCAGCAGCCTAGTCTGAGGCCTGCAGCTTTAGCTTTAGTCTAACAGTAGGGCATGTTGTTGATGCGAATGTGGGAATATTACTTCCAAAAATGCTTGTTCTTCATAATGCTGCCTGTGCTCCATTGAGAGGAGGACCAGGAGCAGCACCTGACAGTTTTTGTGATGTTTACCTACCTCGGCACTGCCTTGTGAAACTCTGGCATAGGGACTAGAGAAGGTATCTAATGTCCATTTTAAAAAACAAATGATGATGATAGATGGGAAATGTAAGCTTCTCAAGGAGCAAATACTTGAATTGCTTCTTCATTCTTTATTATTCTTGAGTAAAAGTAAGTGGAGGTCGATTGCACCTCTCAGATTACTAGCTTGTTATGAAAGTGTTCTGCTTTGAAATCAGGCCTTTGGGAAATGGAGAACTTTCTGTTGTGTTTCAGTGTGGCACGTTCTTACTATCTCAGGGTAAAGGCTGTGTCTCCAGGGAGGAAGGATCTCTGGCTGGAGGGATAAAACTGCCCTCTTGGCTGAGAACTGTTTTTTTCTTAGAGATTCACTATCAAAAGTGACTGCATTCCCTTTGTTCTGGTCCCAGCCCTGGTTGTCCTGGTAAGACGTGCTGGGGTTTCTCCATGAGTTGCATCCTTTATGGCACGAAGAAGCTTTGCACAGAGAAGGATGTGTTTTCCTTACCTGACTGGCAAATTACTGATGGCTTGCTCTGAGGCTGGGATTTTCTCAGTCGTGACGCTCAGATCCCAGGAAACCAAACTTTAAAGCTCCCTTAAGAAGTGGGTCTGATAACTACTGCGGTGACATCTGAACCAAAAACATGGTCACTGTAGAAGGCTGCTTAAGAAGGTCATTG